AACAGCAACCCAGTAAACCCTACAATCCCTATAAACCCTACTAACCCTACACTGCACCGTGCAACGTCCAAGGCAAGGACCGTAAACCCTAAACCCTTACGGTTTAGGGGTTTAGGGTTTCGGGGTTCGGGGTTTGGGGTTTAGGGGTTAGGGTTTAGCTGTTTTTTGGCATCTTTTCTCCGCGGCACATGTCCACGGAAATGCTCTAGAGCACGATCCAGATTACAGTCCACATCAGCCTTACACTCCTGTGAACAAAAGACAAGGCTCCCACCTAGGGTTTAGGGGTTAGGGGTTAGGTTTTAGGGGTGAGGGTTTAGGGTTTAAGGTTTAGGGTTGAACCTTCAAACCTAAACCCTTCTTAAAGCCAACCCCGTTCTGGCCTTGTTGGCCTGATTCATGGCCGGGAGGCAGCTTCAGGCGTGGCAGACAAAGTCCCAGAGCTTGAGCCCCAGGTGACTGCGGTTTGGGTTTTAGGGTTTAGGGATTAGGGTTTATAATGGCTTATATAGGGCTTAAGGTTTGGGTTTTAGGGTTTGGGTTTTAGGGTTTGGGGTTTAGGATTTAGGGTTTATAAGGCTTGATGGAAAAGAAAAGGGGAACGATTATAATGGCTTATATAGGGCTTAAGGTTTGGAGTTTAGGGCCTGGGGTTAGGGTTTAGGGTTTGGAGTTTAGGGAGGGCTGGGAGGGTTAGGGGGTTTGTATGTAGGTGGGTTGGGGGATTTAAGCAGAATTTTGGGGGGTTAAGGGGTTTTGACTTAGCCCTCAGAGGGGTTAGTTTCGGGACTGTAGAATATCTTAGGTGGACCCCCCACCCAGTAATAGCAATTATAAAGGACAATAGGGATTATATTAGGGTCCTCTTATATTCTTATTATACCACTATTACAGGGTGGGGGGTCCTCCTAAAGAATATCGGACCCGCATGATTACAGTTGGGTGGATGTTTCAAGTATGAAAGAGCAAGGAGTGAGGTGTTGCATGGACTTGGAGGCAGGGAATCGGCAGCGCAGTTGCTGGACAAATCCCAGATACTCTGGAATTTGTGTGGTGTAGGTTGGGTCATGCAGGTTTCTGCCCTCATCGCCTTACCACCAAACATGGTAATTTCCCAAAACAAGGGGGCTCCAAATAAACCCTAAAATGCTACAGTCTGTATGATGGGGACCCTCAATAAGGTACCCGTAATGTTGGGAAACCCCTAGCCCTTAAACCCTAAACCATATATATCTTAAAAAACCCCTATATAACCCCTATATCCCCTCTAAAAGTACCCCTAGAAAAATCCTGCATATCCTTATAAACCCCTATGTAACCCCTATGAGAAAATCCTATAATTCTTATAGACCCCCATGTAACCCCTATATCCCCTCTCGAGGTAACTCTCCGCACCGGGTGGGAGTATGCCCTTATCTATCAGGTAACTCTCCGCACCGGGTGGGAGTATGCCCTTATCTATCCTTGAAGTAGCGGTTATGATGGTGCAATACTCGAAAATCATAGTATTGTTTTCATATATGTGTTTCGAACTGCTCCTCGAAAAATACCTGCAACCTTGTTTTCATGTCGTGCCTGTCACACCCAAGCATAAAGTCTGAAGACTGAGGAAAGGCTCCGCCCGAGATGGCTCATGGAGAGGAGCCAGCTGCGGCGACAGCCTCCACGTCCATGAGCTAATGTGTTCCGGAAGTAGGTTTTGTACTTCACTTGTCCTCGGGCTTGTTTACCAAGGTCTACCAAAAAACACCACAGCTCGCATGGCCGACATTCTTTTTCTGGTTGTTTTCGTTGGTTGCGCTGCCCGTTTTATGTTCAGCTCCAACACATGCAATGAAGACCTTTTGGGCTGTTTTGGTAAGGTGCGTGCAACGCGAAACAACAAGAATTCTTAGTAAGGCTGTAGCGCACAGGCACAATGCAAAACAGAAAAAAGGCTGTGAGCGTTGCATCGCGTCTGTCAATCACCCGCTGCATCCCGCACGCAAGAAGAAGTCAGCACATGAAACCCGGGAGAAGATGCAGCAATCCAAGCCTGCAGCCCCAAACCTCTCCCATGCATGTTGTTGGAAATGTGATAAATCCTTCTGGAGTCCATATCTTGCAATCATGTTTTTCATTTTGAGCTGGCGCATGGTATCCTCAGCAACACCAGCAAGCCCTGCCTGGCGGAGGCTTGTCAACCAGGTCGTAGCGCAAGACCAGCATAGGCACGGGAGCACCCAGGCTGTCGTTTGCCAAGCCTTTCGTCTCATGGACAATTTGGACGCCCGTCCAACACATGCGGAACTGCCAGAAAATTTTGGGGGTTCAGGCTTGAATGTGTAGCCGACAGAGACAGTGGTAATTTTTTGTCCGTGAATTGGGGCAGCCTTGGGAAAATCGCGGGCTTGAAGCAAAGCATTCAAATCCTCCCCAGTTTACACCACCTACTGCTGCATGTGGAGTAATGCCTGCAGCCACGATGATCTCCCTATTCTTACTGTCGGTATCTTATGTCATTAACGTTTCCTAGGTCATCTGGCACAAGAACCAAGAGGCTGGAGCATGACTAGGTAGGCATGTTACGGAAGACGCACCCATAACAGCAACCATGAGACACTATAAGGTGTTCAGTGGTTGTTACTTGGCTTTTCCCTACTTAGGAACAGAGGAAGACAGACCGCAAAGCAATCGCTTAAGCCAACAGAACATGGCAAATCTGCCAAATAATGTAGCAGGCTTTTGTTCGCTAAGGGTTCTGGAATGCTAGTAAATCGTCGGAAAAAGTTATCATGAATCTGTTCTTGTGGGGTCCAATTTTTGTCTAGGTCGGAATACTTGTGGCCTCGGGGGGCCAAACTCCACAAATGGACACGGCTACAACATCTACACAGTGAAGTTCGCTAGCGTAAACCGCGCTGAGAGGCACGCACATGTACCATTTTTATCAGACAACTCTCTAGCGGGACTAGCGGTCGCCAGCCATGCAAAAGAAAGTGGATTCCCTTTTACATCAGGGCGGGTGTAAACTCATCTGCAACGAGTGGCAGGCTCCTATGGCTTGCAATGTTGGTGTACAAGGCTGAGACATTGTTCGAGATAACTCGACATTGTCAGGGCCCGCAAAAATCAACTAGTTTGAGCCCGCCTGGCGACAACGCATGGAGTGAGGTCTCACGCGGGGTCCCAATGATCTCTTCTGCTGCACTGTTGTCTGTGCGCTTGCCAGGATCGTTGTCATACTGCCAGCCACTGCTCAGATTCGCTACAACCATTCCGTCCAATCCGCCCAGGCGCCATCAGCTGTCCTCCCGGACTTTCCCACGTGTTGGGAAGAACGTCAGCTTAAAACCATGATTTTGGAAGCCCTTCATTTGAAAAACCGGCAAACCGAATAACGATCAGATCAGGGCTGACTGAAGCTCAACAGTTGCCAAACCCATGATCAGAATTCATTCCGAGATTCTACCTGCATTCTGGGTAGATTTCTTTCGGCGGGATAGACTGTTTGTGGGGGATTGATACCTTTGGCACGAAAGCCAAACACGAACCAAGTCTTCATGAAAAAGCGAAACAGGTCTTGGGTACATTCTTTTCAACAACATGAACCGGAATCTTTCAATCGATCCATAGATAGAAGCCCCATCTTGTCACAGCAACATCTTGAGACGGATTGTCTTGACATATGCCTTCCAAGGCAAAACCCTTACCCCTCCTAGGTTCAAGACCGAATCTTGCGCCACAACCTGGCTCAGCAGCGACTTTTGGTAGGTTCCCAAAATAAGAGGACCCCATTATACAAAGGAACCCTAATTTTGGGAAACCCCATTCCCTAAACCCTAAACCTAAACCGTACGGTAATTAGGGAAACCCTAAACTTCCAAACCCTAACTTTGGGAAACCCCCATTTTGCGAGAAGTTCGAAGCGTTAAGAAATTCGCGCCAACTCAGAGCCTTGCCTTAGACAAAAAGCCTTCAGGGTTTCTGATTTAGTGCTTTAGGGCTGCGGGTTTAGGGCCTACAGTTTAGGGGTCTAAGGCTTAGGGTTAAGAGGTTGCACATGTGGAGGGGCCATGTTCATGAAATCAGCTCAAGAACCAGTGAAACACGGGAGTCACACTTATGCTGGAGGTCGCTTCCTAGACTAGACTTACTTCCTAGCAGGAAATACAGGGGGGTAAGAGCCTTAGATCATGTAGGGACTATTTAGGGGCAGGGACTGGACCCACATTAAAAAAATCCCGCCGCCGGAACACAGCTATAACAAGACCCGCAATTATGAAATCCCGGAAAATATTCATTTTGCCGGGTCAACTATTCATTAAATGTTCATCGATTCTAAATGGACGTTCGAACCTACATTTGTGGCACTGTTATTCTGGAGCTTCCCACAGAACGGAGATAGATCAATCGGAGACAGGGTTATGTGAAGCCAACACAATTCCCTCATTCCACACTAGCCGCCAGCAAGTAGAATTGCAGTCTACCTCTCCTTGCTCTGCAAACCCTGCATAGCCCATACCCTGAACCAGAAAAGCTCACCGGCTTGCTACTGAGCAGCTTAGAAGAAGTTGACATAATTGGGAAGCCATGATATGGTAGTTTCCCTGAATAAGGGAAGCCGGGAAGCCCCAATATAAACCCCAAAATGCTATAATCCGAATTGTAGGGGCCCCCAAAAAATACCCCCAATTCTGGGAAACTCCCATATTTACTATCTAAACCCCAAACCTCAAACCCTAAAAGCCCAAAACCCTGTACCCTAAATAATACGACATGTCCATACCATGGCAACTTGGTTTAAGTTCCTAGCAGCAACCCAGTGAAAGTAAGCGACATGCGGTTTCAGGCAAGGACTCTACCTAAGTAAGCATGTTACGAACCACTAGGCTTGCCAATTGCTGACTTTTAGGAGTATTCATAATCATTGCCGAACTAATCTACTCGATAGACTCCAAATGGCCTGCATCGCCCCTTCATGAACCTTATAGATTCTGTTTGGGATCTCGTGTTTCTGGGGCCCCTAAACCCTAGGCTGTGTTTGGGTAAATCAGGGACTGTACCTCACCTTGGTTGCACGGTGCTATTTGGAAAGTCATAATTTCTATGCCAATCTAGCATGGTGGTACTTGCTTGTGGTAGTTTTAAGGGTTTAGGATTTGGGGTTGGTTAATATGGGAGGGCAGGAACGCCTCATAGTGTCTCCCTGTACTAGTCACTATGCAACCCACAAGCGGGAATTGCGAAATTCCGTAGCCGCGCGTTGGTGGGGACCACAAGCAGTGGGTTGTAGCTAAAGGAATTTAGCTCAATCACCATAATGGATATATATATATACATATAGCCCCTATATAACGCTATATAATATAGTAGTTTCCATTTTTGCCGTTATCCCTACACATATATATATATATACATACACCCTACAAAACCCAAATACACCGATATTAAAATTGCGGTTTCCCGATTACCTGACTGTTGGTCTTCCCCGCCCCCCAGAAGGTTAACCTACTAACACTACTTTTGGGGGGGGATAGGGTGTAGAAAGGGTATATGTTGGGAATGGAAAGAAAATGGAAACTACTGTTTATAGTAACTGGAAATATTACACTCCCAAAGGCTGAAGTTCGAGGCTCGCCACTCTGCTACTAAGACTTTGGTACCTTTCAGTAAGTTGGTAGTTTCCTTAGGTCGGCCCTTTTTGCATGTGGTCGGCCCTAAAACTTATACCCTTTAGTAGGGGGACGTGTAGAAACATCATGGTTCAGAGCTCAAGCAAGGACTAGTTCTGGACACGCGGCTTTCAGGAGCTGCCCTGTAATATGACACATCTCGGTTTCCCTAGGGATCCAAGTAGCCCAGTGCATTACACCAATAATGGAGAATCACATGGACAAGCAAATGGAACACGAAATGGAAAGTGGGAGTCTGTAAGGATGTATAGGGATCCAAATAGCCCAGTGTAGGTAACAGCTACAGACTTTAGGGCCCAAGGTAGGTAATTGGGATTTGTCTGCTTGGATCCATAGGGTTCAGCCTAGAAATCAGACAGTGGTGAAAACAGTCGAGGTTTAGCTCAATCTCAATGCTGGCTGTGTTGATGGCGACGCGAAACTCAGGCAGGATGGCGAAATAAGGTGCCATATAACCCTACACCTTCTACAAACCCTCAACCCTAAACCATAAGCCGATTTGTAGGGTGCTTCTTTATATGGCTTCCGTAGACCGCTTTTGCAAGAAACTTCATTGAACTAGCAAACCCTGAGCCTGCGTAACTCTCATATTGGAACCGGGCATGAGGTCAATATGGGGGTATATGGCATAGTGGAAAACGAAATGGAAATTCCAGTAGTTTATAGTAGAGTTTTTGCATTTATACTGAATCTCAAATCTCCAGCCTTACCATTACACCCTTTGGCAAGCTTTGCGAGGCCTCGATGGAGCAGACCAGCATCCATGACAAGCGCATCCCCAGCGGTCCACACCTGAAACAAAGGGCCCTCCCTGCCCCCTAAACCCTAAACAAGGCTTTAGGAAGTTTAGGGCTCATATGGCTATGCAGTCGGGTTTCAGGGTTCAGGGCTTAGGCCTTTTTAGGGTTGAGGGTTTGCAGAGGGCAGGCCGCCACCATACAACCCAAAGAAAGAGTCAGCATTTCAAGGCCTTGGCCGAGCCCTTACACGCAAGCGTCAACCATATGTCTTATGCATCTCCCACATTGGACATTCAAAAGCTCTAAGACATGCCCAAAACATGAAACAAAACTCGGGGTACCCAAGCATGCCCAAAAATCAAACACGTCAACCTAACGTAGCCTTGTAAACTTCCTCGGCCTGGACCCCTCTTCATCCCGGTCATCCCCACGTGACCATGAAACTACTAGAACCCTAAACCCTAAACCCCTAGAACTCTAAACAGCACTTGCCCAGGATTTACGGCCCACATCCCGTCATTCGCCTCATCTCCAGAAGCGACTGCAACAGCGCCGTGGGTGGCGCATAGGCTGCGGAAGCAGTCCTGGGTCCATTGCTTTCCCTGGGGATAGGGTTCAGGGTTCAGGGTTTAGTGTGCGAACAATGGAGAATCACATGGAAAAGAGAATAGAAAATGAAACGGAAACTGGGGTCATGAGGGGGGTTAGATATAGGGTTCAGCATACACAAATAGTACCTACATTGGGCCCCACAGTCTGTAAATACTACCTACATTGGGCTATTTGGATCCCTAGGGTTATAATAGGTATGCATAGGGGTTCGGGTTTGAAATAGGGGTGCCGGGTTCAGGAATGATGCAGAATCCAGTGGGAAAGAAAATTGAAGAATAACAGGGACATAAGATGGAAACTGGGGTTGCGTGCTGATTCATTGCAAGTAGCAGCAAATCCTGGCAACATCAACCCGATACTTCGGACCTTGTTATGGTCACATGATGGTAGCCATAAGGCGTTAATTTTTCTGGTTGGGACTACGAAAACACCCCCAATCTAGTGGTGAAGGTGTTCATTGTTTGGGGGCGGGGGTTCAGTCTTCTAAGAGGGCTAGGGCTTAAACAATTTCATTTGACCAGCTTAATTTTAACCTTCAACCCAGTTCCTGGGCGTAGTATTTGTACCTATACTGCATGCGTATACCTGCAACGTGGAAGTGTTGATGCACTACTTCCTCGGCAAGACACCCTTGAATGCATATGGAATCACGGGTAGGGGCTGGCGGGTTCAGCAAGAAAGCTTTGCGGTCCAATGCTCCAAACCCTGAGGATTGGGGTTTTGGGTCTACGGAACTCTTAACTATAAATGCTGCCGATGGCGTTCTCCTGCCACAGTACGAGGCGCTAAAAGTTGCGCGTGTAGCAGCATAGGGCAGAGGAGGCAAGGTGGCAAGGTTTATGACACCCATTTGAGCGATGGTCAAGACACCCTTGAAGGAAGATCAGATAAACACCTTTAATGTCATCATGGGGTCTGATTGTCCTCTTCGTTATGAGGCGGCACGCAGGGTAATACGCACTTTCCGCAGGATGGCGCTAGATTCGCGGTAGGTTTCCTGAACCGTGTCATGCGAGCGTCCAGCTTGACCATGGGCTTTTGCACTTGGGGAGCTCCTATTCTTCTTGAGAGGCCCAGACAGTTCACAAGAGGCAGATTTCATTATGGCCAGGAAATTTGGTCGCCTCATCGATTTCAGCTGCAGATGGCGCTAGATCCGCGCTAGTATCTGTTGTCCATGTAGGTCGTAGCCCTCCAGGGGTCAGCAACCCATGTTTATCACAGGACGTCTTTTTTATGTATGTTGATTTCCTCAGAAAATCCAAGATGGCGTATAGTAATTAGAGTCGAACTGTTGCAACGGCCTTACTGTTAAGTTTTTATGGCCTTGTTTCCACCAGTTGAGCGGATGCGTATTACGCTTGATATTCAAAGGACAGAGATGGAAGCTTAGAGAAAGAAGAAAAGGCACCGCGCTAGATAGAGTTGACAGCTTCAAAAAGGCAAAACCACATTTTTCATCATGATATGGTCTTGCAAGATACTTACCACATGAGGCGGCACGCCGAATAAAGGTCAGTTCCAGGAACAAGAGTATTGGCAACAGCCCATTTGCATATCTGCCTGTCCAAGCTTGTCCCTTAAGTGCACGAATTGTGAGGTATTGGTATATTATGAATAAGTAAGATTATCATGTTCAAGTCTGCGCCCGTTTGAGGTATACCAAAAAATGTCAAGTCTGTTTCAACTCTTTTCAATGAGTCGGGATGGGCTCCCTCAGCCCTTGAACTGATAAATCTTTTTCTTCTGACATCAAAACCCTGTTGTTTTATATATTCCCAATATACACTAACACACCACAGGGGGAATATCTACTACTAGGCGAGAAGTATTCCCAATATACACTGACCAATATACCACAAGGAGAATATCTAATGCATTAAACACTCCCCATATACACTAGTAATTATATGGTGGTTTCCCAAAATACGGAGACCCCAATATAGACCCGAAAATACTATAATTCTTACTATGGGGACTCCCAAAAAAGGTACTCCTAATTTTAGGAGACTACCACCATGACTGCCCAAGATTTTGAGTATGGTACCCCTGATTTTGGGAAACCCCCACATCACAGGGAGAATGTTTAATGTCAGGGGGAGGGGATGACCAGCCAGGCCCATGCCTTCTGAGATCTTGTCTCTCTTGACGACACCAAAAAGCCGAGCTCATCGGCTGTTGAAGGTTGTGCCGTAAATCGTGGACGCTAAAAGGAGGTTAAAGAGGTGTATAGGGTTGAAGGTTTTAGGTTCGATGCTGCCTCACCCTGCTGGAGTCCCCCAGTTTGAAACTGTCTAAATTTGTCTAGGGTTCCAGGTTTAGGGTTCTTGGCGGTTCCACGGGTGCGGGCTGTACCCAACTCGTAGGAATTTACATGAAACCTCTTCCAGAAAAGGCAGAGCCAAGGACAGAGAAGCGTGAAAAAACTAAGCCATGGGTTCAGGGCTTAGGGTCGCTAAACACATTGAACCCTAAATCCTAAACCCTGAAGGTAGCGAAGGCCTCAACCCTTTAATTTGCTGGCAGTTAGCAAGGAATAAAGAAATCTAATCCCTACATAATCCCTTTACTCCCTGGCAACCACCAGCCCCTAAGACCCTACACCCAACAACCCCTAAAATGCTAACCTCTAAAACCCTACAACCCTCAACGCGCCAAGGATCTCTACATCGTTCCTGCAGGCTGCGTTTGTAGTCCTTAGGAGCGATTTAGGGATGTTGTTTAGGGTTTAGGGTTTAGGACTTACAGGTTTAGGATTTAGTCATGTTGGGGTTGCGGGGGTTTCATGAGGATGTATGTATATATATATATACATACAAATATAAGGATCTAGAAGGAGGCTAGGAGATAACAATAGCAACTTAACCATCCGCCGAGGCTCCCAGAGCCCAGGCAATGCGATTTTTTATGGGGTCCCTACTTTGGTTTGCTGGTGGTTAGCAGGCATGGTGTAAGGGAATTTTAGTGTAATGTCCCTATAATGTAGCCCTTTATTTCCGACTAACCTCCAATACATTTTGCAATCTCCATATGGTAGTTTCCCTTAGCCCCCCAATATGGACACAAAATACTATAATACGTGTTAGGATCCCAAAAATTATACCCCTAATTCCGAGCAACTCCAAAAACTCAATATATCTGAATATATCCTTACATACCCCTATATAACAACCCATATCGCCTCTTAAAGGGAAAATCCCTGGTATCTAGCCCAGGCTCATGAAGGGCGTGCGTGCCAGGGAGTACTTCTTGTGGCCCACGGTTTGCCGCTACGTTGCTCAAGGGAAGGAAAACGGAGAGTCCTCCAAAGAGGCTGAAGAGAACTCGGTTGTAATGGAAAAGAAGATGGAAACTACGTTTTCATGTACTAATTTAGGGTTCAGGGCTTTAGAGTTCAGGGATAACGAGGCATTCAAGAAGGGGTTACAGATGTTGTGGGGGTTTGAGGCTAGGAGCTCCTAGCCTAGGAGCTGACAAGATTTGAGCATGCAAGTATCATTGCTTGCTTGCTTGAATCCTTTCGGAGCCTAGGTGAAAACAAGATGCCAGCCATATAGATTTTACTGCAACTTAGGGTTTAGGTTTCGGAGGGTTTAGGGTAGAATCTTATGGATTCTAGTGTTGCTGATTCTGTTGCTGCCCCAGTCCTCGCCCAGTGGCGGCATCTAAGTGCCACTGCTGAATTTCAGCGAAGGGATCGGCGATCACCAGCTGTGCTTCAGAGAGGAAAATGCGTCGCCCGGCCAGGTCCTAGGGTTCAGGGTTCAGAGAGCGATTTCGTAGGGTCCAAACGTTCAACATGCTCATGGGGTATATGCATAGAGGTTCATACATAGGCAGCTCACTAGACTAGGTGAGTGCGTCAGAATATTTGGGGACTAGGTCAGGGCGTATCACGCATTAAATAAAAGATGGGTAGTCGCGCGTTTCCATAGCACTTAACTTATTTGCTGTGCCATGCCAAAAATGGTACAGTAGCCCGATCTAAGCTCGCATGGAATGAAGCACAGCAAGCCAGATAGCGATTTTGCAAAACCATCTCTCAGGCTTGCTCAAGACTATATCAAGGATGTGGCTAAAAAAGGTTGGGCTCCCCGTCTCTCCCCCCAAGGCAGTAGAGTCTTTGATGTAGGGACTCCCAGCAGGCCATGAGTTGGGCATATCCATGTAGGCAACCCAAACCCGGCCTGGATCTCATAGTGCTTGTGCACCAGTGGCGCCAGGGAAGCGTGGGGAGAGACGGCAGGAGGCTCGTATTCTGGAGATCCTGACATTCTGACATGGTATAACTGGGTTTCCGGGAAGCCCTTTACGGATGGTTCAGGGAGAATGCGAGGCTAAGCCCTGGACAATAAGGCGATATGACTGTAAAGCAGGCCGTATACTCCCTACAAGTTTGGCAGGGCAGTCTCGATGGCCCCGTCCCAAGACTGAGGTCCCTTACCACCCCGCATCTGAGAGCAAGATCCTCATTTGGCGATCCCCCACCCTATGCTAAAGACAGAGAAAAAGAGATGAAGTACAAGCAACGCTGGCTTTCTCACATGTTCTGAAGGGCTCATGCAAACGCTCAACTGCAAGCATGCAAAGCCACGTTGTTACGTACCGAATTTCAAGTTTACTATTGTAGTTTCCATTTTATTTTCCATTATTCCTCTATAACCCCTAATAGACTATGATATAGGAAGCTGTCAATACAGAGCCTGGGGTGCCCCGCTCCATAAACTTCGGGGCCTCGAAAAAGGAGGTGCAGCCGACCGAAGGTGTAACGGCCCATCGAAACGTTCGGATCATGCTGTTGCCTAAGGCTGGGTGGTCATCAGGTTTCCTTACTTGGGGTTATTTGAGGTTATTTGGGGATGATGAATTAAGCTTTATTCAAGCTAATTGCGGGAGTGATTCCCATTCAAGGGGGGCCTAGGGGGGTAGTGTGGGTGGCATAGAAATGGAATTCATGACATCTTCATTGCTCGGAGGCTACCCTCAATCCAAGTGCTGAAGCATCCTACAGAGGTAACGCCGAAACTTTGCAAGGATTTGGATGAGTCTTTGGGGGCCTCGGGTAAACCCTAAACCCTAAATCCTAAGGGTTTTGGGTTTAGAGGTCCAGGGCTGTGCAGAGTTTGGGGTGTAGAGGAACTCAGTCCTTGGAACAGTCCATCTGATGGGACTCCTCCCTGTAGCTCCCTTTTCATGCAGCCTTCATGAGCCTACTTAAGCCCTGAAGCTTGGGTACTGCCCCCACCCAGTAACAGTCTATATTAGGGGTCCTATTAAGGGCTATATATAACCATATTATACTTATTATTCAACTGTTACAGAGGGGGGTCAGTACCCAACCTGAAGCTCATTTCATCGGTTCATGCGCCTACATAAGGGGAAACCCTGGAGGGTGCAGTCTAGGTAGGCGGCTAGAGAACTCACAAATCATGGAGCAAGGATGAAGCCTGGCGCTTGGTATCTTTGAGCTCTTGATTCTCAACTATGCTTAGGGTTTACAGTCTAGGGCTTAGGAAGCCCAAATGCAAAATGGACAGCGGCTGCGATTTTGAACTAAGCACGACTGAAACAATGCTGTAAAGCCTACAAAATCCACAAAGTGCTGGAGCGCGCATAGCCCCTGACACCCCTTGTAGTTTCAATTCAATGTTGCAATTCCTTTTCCATTGGATCCGCCACTATCACTTGAATCCCTGATAACATACCTATCAAACCCCTAATTATATGAGCTACAGTCAAGATTTCTTGTAAAACGAGGGACGTGGGTTCCTATTGAACAAAATCTGGGGTCTATTACAAAAGAACAGTAGCTAGCAGGGGTCATTCCCCCTTTCAGTAACATTTACCAGAAATGTACCACAGTGGGTAATGATAGCCCCTTCATAACGCCCCTCCAAGGACGCTTGCTGTGAGGGGAATGACCCAAAGTAGCTCACATATCCCGATAGTCCCCCTTAGTAGACAGAATATGGGGTAAATGGGGATCTTATTATAATATACTACCCTAAGCCATCTTCTCCCTAAACCCTAAACCCTAAACCTTCTATCTACGTAAGAGGGACTATAAACCCAAAACTGCCCCTTCAGGCAGAGCGTCGCCCACAAGCCTACCTCCGCAGCGCGCCGCGGTGGCTCGAAGCCCCGGGGCCCTGAGGTAAACGGATTTTGGGACATGACCTAGGGGCTTAGGATTTACGGTTTAGGGCTCTATATTTAGAGGGATTCTATTAGGATTTAGGGCTCAGGACTATACAGGGGTTCTATTGAGGTTTATGGGGGTCATATAGCATTTTCATAAGGTGTGTATTTACATGTTATATATGTAAATACATGTATATGTATATTCTATATATATATATATGGTTGTGCCGGCCTATTCAGTGACATGTGGGCTTTGGGAGTATGCAGGGGCTATTTAGGATTTAGGGTGAATAGATTATGGGTATCCAGGAAGTATGGAAAAGGCAATGTAAAGTAGGACCCCAGTAAAGGTATCTTGTTCACAGTAATACTTCTAGGAGGCTGTGGGATATGTCTTGGGTATAACTTCGGCTTGAACTACCTAGGAGGTAAAACAGAGGTCAGAAAAAAGGACTCTTCCAGAGCTGAAGAGGTGACGGCTTAGTCTTTTGGCACGCTCACTTCCTCCCTGGGCGACAAGTTGGGGTTTAGGTGAGATAGGATTGGTTTTTTGTTGGCACTTGCATGGCTAAGAAAACCCTAAACTGAAAATTCCTTAAACCCTTACACCCCCTCAACTAGCCCTCAAAACCCTAAACCGCGAGGTTCAAACCCGGAGCGGTCAGTAACAAGGCTATCAGCAGGCCTTCATCGCAGTTTCAGACCCACATGCACTCCAAGTCCGACACAAAAACTCCTAGTGTTTGGGTTTGCGATTGATGTTTGTGGTGGGAAGGAGGGAACGGAGGCATGGATCTCTATATGGTAGTCCCTGGATTATCTCTTATAAGCCACGATATCTCTTATAAGCCACGTTCCTTGATCCCTACTGCAGAAAGGGCGCATGCGAGCAGGATTCCGTGCATAATGTCAGGGGCATCCGACTTTACATGGAGTTTTTTGGACTGTTTTGATGATGCCTGCTCGTAATTATGTGAAGGGATCCGGGAGGATACTTTTGGGGTATGGAGAGACCAGATACAGAGGCACCACAAAACCTTGATGACCGTCAAAGCATGGCGTGAGCAGTTGAAACTCCCAGCTCTTACCTTGAAGTCGCTGGCTGCTAGTAGGGAAAGGAATAGAACTAGTAGAGTAATGGGGATGATATGATACATAGGGCTACTATAGGGTCCATTCCTAATAACCAATAAGCCAATAAGACTCATGGCTTTAATCGCTTGAAGAGTTCGAGCCGGAAACATGTTGGCGATTGTCAGAATTACAGGCATATTCTTGAGGTTCTTGCGCTAGGAACGTGGAGTGTATGTAAGGCGCCCATGACTTTTTGAAGCTTACATGCCAAAGCTGGCAGATTTCGGATAGGGGCTTGGGGCTTGGGGGTTATTACTTAAATAGGTGATGTTCATTCCGCTTTTCCTACCTGGCCCTAAAGCACTACAAGACACCTAAATCTGGGACCCTATTTGCTAGGCCCTTGCCCAGCCCCATAAGCCCATAAGGGATCCAACAATGAAGCCCTAGAATGAGCCCATGCCCTTGGCCAAACTAAGGGATTCTTGTGAGGCTCCAGGGTTTGGATCTTTAGCCGCCCTCAGCCCTAAACCCTATGGTCCCCTTAAGTAGATAGAATATGGCTTTGGGCAAATTGTAATAATTCAGATCCCCATATACCCCATATTCTATCTACTTAAAGGGGACTATAAGCCCTAAAGTCCTAAAGGGCTAAGGAACGAGGATGTGCCCTGCCTGCGAAACCGCCGAGACCAAGAGCTTTGCGAAGGGAAAGAACGTCCTTCCCGTTCCCCCCACTTTGGGTGACCCTCAGGATATACGGGGATGATAAGAATTCTGAGCGTTTCCGCAGCAACATATTTTTTGCGGCATCCTTCTTAGAGCCTTCTTATGGACTCTGTTCTTTGGGAAGTACAGCACACCCCCCGACCCCCTATACTGAAGACTCCTGATTATGATGTTAATGACCATGTGCTGGGAAGGGCCGCGGAAGCGATTTAGGTTTGTGCTGAGATATTTGAAGCTGCTTAGGGGTGTGCACACGTACTTTGGGGTGCACAGGGTGTCGCAAGAGTTTCTTAGAGATTTTGGGACGTTCTGGACTTAGCTAAAATGGTTCACATTGGGACAATGCTTCGGGATCAACCAGAAGAAAGATGTGCCGCCTAGCTGTACAGAGTCGGCTCATGTCGGATTACACTTAAACAGCTTCATGTGGTATAGCACCCCTTACATAACTTAGGTCATCCTCCAGCCGTGCTTCGCAAAAATACCTCTCAATCCCAAGAGCCGTCTGAAACAACCCAAGCCCTCAACCAAAGAAAAGAACCCACACAGGATGCCTGCCTCGGGCGTGAGCAATCCACGGAGGAGCACGCATCCCCAGGACTCAAGAGCCTGGCAAGGAGGGCGGGTTTGCTCCTGCTGTTAGAACCATTACCAGCATTTTTACACCTACAAAAGAGATGACAACATGCAGATTGAACAGTCGCAATGGATTTCCTGCCCCGACGCCGTCGGACGCTAATCTCCTAAACCCCCCTTGTGAACCCCCTATACTCACCGTTGCCATCTAATCTTCCATTTTCTTTTCCATTTGATTCTCCATCATTCGGGTAATTTGAACTCTTATATCTGAACCCCGGAACCCAGAGCCGCTAAACCTCAACGCTGGCACGCTATGGGTTCCACCCCGCGAAGGTTCTTGCTTAATTAGGCGTACTTGGGGTTCATGAACGAGCAACCTGGAACTTTAGGGGCAGTAGTATAGTACTCTACACCCTAAAGCTTAGCAGGTGAGGAGCAGCCATAAAGCAGCCTCCTCACTTCGCTCCAGTGCACCAGCATCCCACTGCGCCGAGGCCGTGGCGGGTTGCGCAGAGCCTGGCACAAGGGTTCAGGGTTTGGGAAGGTTTGCTCTAAGGGGATGGAGAAGAAGAGTATCCCCACTTTGGAGTACACGCCAGAAAAAAGTATAGACCTCTTTAGGTATAAGCTGTTGTAAGAAGAACCCAGGAACCAAAAAGTATGAAAGTGTAGCACTCCAAAATTGGGGTATATTCCAGCAAATGGGAGAAATTGCCACGAGAACATTCAATTTACAACTGGATAGGCCCTGGACCGTAGAATGTACAATGGGCATGGTTGATTTGCAGCCAGCGGGTGGGCACAGGATGAATTTGCAACTCGCTTGCGAATACAAGGCAAAGCTGGCTCCTGAAGAGTTGTAGGATCTTGAAAGGCTTTGTGTCATGCCTAGTGCACTTGCATCTGGCATGTAGATTCTTCAGGGCTTGGAATTCATGGATGGGATTGCTTCGGGCATCCTGCTTGAAGAGCTGATGTGTGGATATGTACAGCTTTCAGGGCATGTCTGCAAGTTTAGGCTTGAGAGTCACAGTTTGCAGCCTAGGGGACTGCACCAGTCTCGACATAAACAGCAAGGGTTTCACGGTCAGGGTTCGCAGCTTGTTGGATTGGACTCAGCCGGATCTTCAGGGACTGTACTAGTTGGATCCCCACCTCATGAGATGGATCCCAAAGCTATCTCTATGGAATCCGAATCCACTTGTATGGGTCCTGAACACAATCATCAAGGTTGAACACCCAAACGAATATGTA